ATGACAAGCATTACGAGATTATTAGCACAAATCAGTCTCTCACCAAGCGAGCAAAGTACCATCAACACATTTTAAACCAGTTTATCAAACAATGGAGAACAGAATACTTGTTGAGTTTAAGAGAATCGTTCAAATCGATTCGACCAAACAGCAATGTGCAAATGGCAGTTGGAGATATGGTAATTTTACGGAATGACAATTCACGACGCACGTTTTGGAAATTGGCTAAAGTGGAAATGTTGCTTCCCAGTAGCGATGGCACAGTACGGTCAGCTAAAGTTATGGTTAACGGTGAAAGCGGTAAATGGATCACATTACGGCGACCAATACAGTATTTGATACCCCTCGAAGTACAGGCAAGTGCGACGGACGACAGCTGTGTCCAGAGCCGTGCGGATCAGCAGAACACAGAAATAAAAGATAACGACCAACTACAAAGACGAACACCGAGACGTAAGGCAGCTGTAGTTTGCGAAATCGTAAGAAGACAACTTAGTTCGTGATGGACGTTGACACGTACATTGATTAACGTTAACATTAATTTAGTATTAGTTTAATTGATCAATTTTATTGATCAACCCCGGGAGTGTTGTGAACGGTTAAATTGTCGCCGCTATTTTTGTCATAGCGAACAATATGTCAGACATGCGCAAACGAGACGCTTTTTGTTGGTTTCATGAATCGAATCAAAAAACACGTTTATAACGACTTTCAACTTATATTTTATAGTTTATAGTTTAGAAATAAAGTTTATTTTACATTTAACTGCGACGTGCAGTACAGCAGGCAACATATGCATAGCCATAGTAAATGTGCCCATTTGGTGATTCTCATAAAAACGCTGTTGGGAGTACACATTTTGTACTGGAAAATAGGTAAAACCCGTTATACTGTGCAACTGCTCATTTTACAGTAGTTTTCTTCTTGTAGAGGCTTTCTTAGGTTTTTTCAGACTGTGGAGGCAATCACTGCTGGATGATCTACTACTGACACTTTGGATGAACTCAGCTCGGAGTTACTTGAAGATCTGTCGTGGTAAACTGACTTGCCTTTACGTTTACGTTTTTTCTTCCCTTTATTATCTCGGGAATGTTTTTGCCTCGTATTTTGTTCATTATTCATGATTTTTGTTTCGATGAAACCTGTGTTCATATTTTGTTTTTGTGTCAAGACTTTACTGTTGTTTTTGACAGGCGACAAGTTCATGTTCACATTGAATTTCGCTGTGTGTCCGCTTGATTCACTTTGTTGTCTTCGTTTGTGTGCTACGATGCCGAGTACTCCTACATCGCCAACTTCATCTTGTAACGTACGTTTACACTTGGCAATTGTAATTCTAAGCCAGGGCCGTTGCAAAGGGATATGGATTGGGGGGGTGTCGAAGGTCAAATTGCCGAGTGACACTAGTTGAATTTGCCGAGTTTTTCAAAAGTTTGTAAAGGTTAGATGTAGGTAATGAGAATCATATTGGTGTGCTAGTAACTCAGGGACACCAATATGGCTCTTGTTTTGAAATGGGTGCCTGTTCGTGGGTTGTTCATGCTTTCTATTAAACATATAAAGCTGAAAAAAATTTAAATTTAACATAATTTATACTGTGTTTTCATAAGTCCTAAATCGAGACTGAAACTATGTGCACACGGGTCACGTTTTTGAGCGTTTTTGCAGTGCCGTTCTCAAATTTTAGCGTTTAGGCGCCTTGTTCACATTGATTGTTTTTCTCGCAACATTTTCTGACAAAGCACTAGTTTTTTATAGTCTTCATTTCCAAATTCAAACACAGAATTTCATTTTCGCCTTCTACTTTTCTGTTTACACAATAACAAAGTGCCAAAACGACCACACGTTTCAGATATAGAGAATGAATGTTTGGCATAGTTTTCACTATTTGAAACGTTTTTGCTTCCTGACGTCGTTTTCATATGTTTTCGTGTGAACAGAACGTACGTGAAAATGGTACTTTCAGTTTCAGAAATTAACGCATTAATTACAACCAAAAAACGCTCGGAAACAGTACCGTGTGCATATAGTCTGAGTAACGAGTGTCTTAGACTGTGGTGCAGACGCGCATCTCTGCAAAGTCAGAAAAGTTATCCAAGTATTACCCAGGTTCCAGAGGTTTATTTTTATTATTTTCATTGCGAAGGGGAGAGGAAAAATAAACCTCTGGTTGAAAGCGGCAATTGATTCATTGAGCTGCGCCAATCAGTTTGAATTAGGGTCAGATCCTGACTCTGTCTCCTGATTGGATGATCGTATTAAAGCTCTCTGATTGGTTATAGATGTTCTATTTGAACCAATCAGAGAACTTTAATACAATCATCCAGTCAGAAAACAGAGTCAGGATCTGGCCTTAATTCAAACTGATTGGCGCAGCTCAATGAATCAATTGCCGCTTTCAACCAGAGGTTTATTTTTCCTCTCCCCTTCACAATGAAAATAATAAGAATAAACCTCTGGAACCAGGGTATCCAGGTATCTGCATGTGATTGCATTGATATTTTGTTTCAATATCTTCATGGCAATTTGATGAATTTGGCCTTTTTTATCCTTTTGTATTTTGAACAGTCCTAAAACTCTTAGTGCTTGTACGACCCGATTTTCCAAGAGTTTAAATTTTATGCGTCAGAAAGCGAGTAGTAGGGTGCATCTTTAGTAGGGTGCAAATGCAAATTTGGCTTTGCAAGTTCTCACACAATATTCCAAATTTGGTACTGTAATTAGGAATATTCAAAACAAACTTGGGAATCACGCTTTGAAAAGTGACCTGAAATCGACTGTAATAATATTTTTTGAAATGATTTTGTTGACAAAGCAATATCAACGAGAGTTCACTGTTCGATGTTTTTCATAAACACGACAACCAACATGGTCTCCAATTAAACATGTGACCACTTAACTAATAAAAACAAAGCAGAAGTCCGTAATGTTTATCTTATATAAAGTTTACGAGTGTATACTTTCAACA